ATGTGCTTCTTCTAAGCCAATACATTGCACACAATGTGTTGAACACAGATTGCTTGGAAACTCTGGAAGAGACTTTTTGTGATGGAGTAGCTTTTAATCTTTTCTATACTGGAGCACCATAAATTTCCTGCCTGGGCAAAATACAGGAAGGGTAGTATAGCCTTGACCCTGTGTCTGGCTGTGGTCTTCCTGAGCGCTGATAATCTATCACCGTCGTAACTTCACAAAGCTTGACAAAACGACATGATTCGGAACAACAAATTTCCATCTTCTTGTTCCCTAACTGTACGTAAAATATACTGCAAAGCAACTGTTTTTTCCCCTTAAGTTTTCTAGTCAGTCCTACTCATTCTTGACCTCCCGTCAACAACAAAAAGCACAGCAGAGAACCAGAACAGATATTTTCCAAATTAAAAAAATCCCCTGAAAGCCACGTTTTATCCACCATCAATAGTTACTAATCCAAGAAATTGTGAAAGATACATTAAGATTTAAAGAAAGCAGCAAGACTCCCAGAACTGAGGCACAATGTGGTTTAAATTCAGCACAGGCATAAAACCTGTTTTCACTTACTAGTACAATGCCAAGTGTCAGATTATTTTACCACTATCAGGCTCCACCTATAAACACACGTCTAAAATTCAAAACTGCATGTTAACTGTCCAGTTATTTCCAGGTTACATGATCAAGAGTTCTGATAATTAACCTGAGGACAATTCTATAAATTATGCCTTTCCCACTTATCTCTGAAGACATAAACCTAACACAGTGAATGTGGTCTGGCGGCACACATTTTTTTTTTGCATAGGAAGAGCTTTGCAGTCTATCTACAACTACTGCATTTAGTAGTTATTTTTATGAAGACTAACTCAAATATTCATATACAAATCAGAATTAAGGTTTTGTATTTAGGATAAAGACAGAGACATATGCTGTGGCTAAGCAGGAAAAAAAGGTGGTTGAATTCAAGAAAATAGTAGTACATTTACTGTGTATGCACATAACTGGCAACAAGCCTGCTCTTTTTTTTGCTAGTTCTCCCTCAGCATTCCCCCCAATATGTTGTGCACTATTCTTTAGGTGGAAGCTATATGTCAAGCTAATTTTTCTTCATTAAGTGTTTTTACCCCCAATTCCTGATACCAACAGCAATAACTGGGGTCACAAAGTCCAGTACTGACCTACTTAAAATTAAAAAAAAAAACCACAGCAGACAGCTGAGGGAACTGAGACCTTCCACTCCCATTCAGAAGCAATTATCACTGACTGCTAAGACAGAAAGCCAGTGAAGGCAGATGCGGGTTTATCTAGCAGTTGCCTAGTTCTTGGAGAAAGTAGAACCTCTTTCGTGATCGAGAATTATGAGATTATATGCAATATAGTTCCTGATCAGTTTGAAAGACCATTCTGTGAATATCATTTGGGGTGCATAATGTCATCTGTTGAGGATAACACTGCCATAATTTTGCAAAAACAAACAAAACCCTGTAAAACTGTGTTTAAGAATGTACAATTTTAGTAGTCCCCTCTCCATGTGGTCTCCATTTAATTACTTAGGATTTTCTAACTTTTTTTTTTCCTAGAGTTAACAAAACCTTACTCAGAAGCTGGCATTCTTGTTGAGATTTACCATTTGACAATGTCATAAAAGAGAAGATGTAATGTACATGTCTCAACAGCAAGCTGTAAGAGGAAAGACTTCTAACATAAGTAAACACCTCAAATAAGTCTACAGTAAGACACTACCGACCACTCTGCATACAAAATAAATTAGAACGACAGAAAATGAGGGCAGAGTCCTTCCATTTCCCTTCATCAGAAACTAACTGCTATTATTTTCTTATGGAAATGAAAGCAACCCTGCCAGCAATTGTCAAGTCAGAATTCACTATTTCCATGACTTGTGCATAACAGGAAACAGATTACAGGAACTCCCTGTTTTGCTAAACTATTTTATTAGGTTTCACATATTTTTAAGTATAGGTTTTTGTTTGTACATATAAAGACAATTCTGAATATAAAACTTATGTATAGTATAGTAAATAGAAATTTGAGGGAATCTGTAGCAGCATTTATTTCTTATGTTCCTAAACAAGTTGTGTAAGTACAGGCTCTACTTTGGACTAAAACCTTTCAACATTAATACATATTAGCACAAAAGACTAATACTCTCTTTTTACCTTGATGCAAACAGATGTTCCTTAATTATTAAGGCTACTCTAAAATCTCCATGACCAGATATTTCTACTCATTTAGTCAGTGGGAGAAGAAAGGACAGCTGCAAATACTGTTTCGATACCAAAACTTAGCAAGTGAGATGTTAATATTTACATGTATTTAAACACCTTATGATTTTGGTCAAACTTTGACCAGAGAAGTTCAGATGGTTAAGAAAAAAACAAAAACAAACAAAAAAAACCCTAAGTTCAGTAAAGTAAGAAGCATTCAAAAATATGCAAATTGTCATCTTTTTAACCTATGCTTTTATAACCTACATTAGTAGTAATTGAGTATTCATTCATGATCATCCTTCATTACTATTCAGCCTTCCACACATTACCATATTACATTCAAGAAATAGAACAGAATAAAACTATACTTTTTTTTTTAATAAATTGCTAAAGTCATATCCTTTAATCCTTTTTTAAAATAGCCTCTGAAGCTCACAAATTATTCTCTAGAAAATGGGTGAGCAAGTACTTGAGCTGCAACATTCAGAAATGTCAACTCAGCTTAATTACATGGATTTTATTTATTATTTATTTATTTATTTATTTAACCAGAAAAGGTTTAGGTCTCTATCTAGTTCTCATTTTAGGGCATTTGAAGTAAATTAAACTCCAAAATTTAATTT